ATTTTTATTTTATACTGATAATTTTAATTTTATTTTTGTAAATCAATGTATTCTTTGTATTTTTATATTTAATGGTAATTTATTATGTGCTATTGTATTTCAATGTATTTTATCATGTTGTAAGCCGCCCCGAGGTTTCGGCAAGGGGCGGCATAGAAATGCTATAATCATCATCATCATCATCATCATCATCATCTGCTTTACGGTGGCCTTCCTGGCCAGGAAGCTGCCCGGGGCCTTCAACAAGGCCAAGCTGATCACCTTCAGCATGCTGGTCTTCTGCAGTGTCTGGGTGTCCTTTGTGCCCACCTACCTGAGCACCAAGGGCAAGTACATGGTGGACGTGCAGGTCTTCTCTATCTTGGCCTCCAGTGCTGGGCTGCTGAGCTGCATCTTCCTCCTAAAGTGCTACATTATCCTCCTGAGGCCTGACCTGAATACCAAGGAGCAGCTAACAGCCAAAAAAGGAAAATGGCATATGATTCTTAAAATTATATATTTTATATGCTTTTATCTAAAATATATGTGCTTTTATATATGTATTATGTATATGCATTTCAGAGCCAAGTCAAGCCCTTTTTATTTTCCTGATATTTTACAGTTTAAATAGCTTATGATTTTATTGATACAGTCAGTCGTGTGTTCTTTGATGGTGATTGGTGTATTTATTAGGTGTTTTATATTGTAAGCCTTCCAAGGATGAACCGTAATGGATGGGATAAAAATATCCTAATAGATAAATAATAGAATTTGAAACACTGACCATGTGTTGTTGTGGATGGCATCATGAGAATCTCTAATAATTGGAGAAGGGATACAAGGAACTGCTGAAAGGGGGTAATTAGGCAGGAGGGAGTGCAAGTGCACCGAGAGGAGGCCAGGGGCAGTTGGGGTCAAACCACAGGAAGGCTGAAGGACCTGAGCCTCCTCCTGAAGGAGGGCTCCTTCTACTGGCAGAGCAGCAAGAGACATCAGCAAGGTTCTAATCAGCCTTTTTTCAATTCAGCTGCATGCCTGTCTTGACCAGTGGTTAAGCATCGGGAGAACAGGGTCCCCCCCTGGCAATCCTCACATAGACCAGCCTTTCCCACGACTCATGTGACAGCTGGGAATCACTTCACTGGACGTAGCTCCAGGACTGGCATGCACATTGAACTCACTCTTCCTGCAGATGCAACTCCCGCCCCTCCGTTCTCTTACTGGCTAAACAGGGTTTAGTGCTCTTTCTTTGCTGAGGTCAAGGCGTGTGGTTCTGTGTATGATTAACATTGTGCTGCCTTACCTTAAGTATTTCAACACCCTCAGGGTGTAGTGAAAGCGTGTGCATCTCGCTTTCATATAATAAACATATCTTCATACGCTCAGTGTGTTACATCTTTTTATTTTTATTTTTTATTTTTTAAAAGTTGTTTCAGTTAAAGCCTTGAGTGAAATGGAAGCCCTGATGCAGGCATGTTTTTGATTCCACAAAAGATCTTGTGTATCATGAGGGAATGGGGTACTGAACACCCCAACGCCTTGGTAACCCCACTGCAGATTCCTAGAGGAATTATTGTGGTGATTCCCAACCTGAATATGAAGGAATGTTTAAATGAATGATATGATCTGACAGATTGTATGTGCTGTATTTCAATTTGGAGAGAGAAATGTTGGGAGGGCAACCCGAGAGTGGTTCATGACTCTCAGGACCTTTTAATACCATCAACACAAGCTGTAATAATTTATGGGTTGGCTCACCTTGTCCTCTTTCTGGTATGGAAAGATGTTTCTGAGAGGTACTCCTGATCAGCAATTGGACAACAAAGGTTTGGGATACTGCATATTTCATTTGCTTCTGTGTTGGTGAAAAAACTCAAGTGAGGTCATTTAAGGGTTTGGGGTGCACTGCCATCAGCATTCAGATGGCACCAATCTCTGCTTCTCCTTCTCTTTAGAGCCAGATGAAGCTCTGAGGCTGATGACATGCGAAATCTGCAAGTGGCCCAGAAATTTGGATGGCTCATGCATCCATCAGTGTCATCCAGGGGGAGTCTCTGGAGCTCCACCTCCGAAGCTGGGTTGTCCAGTTGTGTGGATGTATGTCCTGGTGGTCAAAAGGAGAGGCAGTTGTAATCAGATCACACAGCTGTTCAAGGGAAGATTGGACCACCACCCACTAGATGACCTGAAAGGCCCCTTCTGATTTGTGGTGTTTTCATCTTTGCTTGCCTGTTGGTTTCACTATTGTTCACTCTGGCAATTCTGTTGTTCTCACTTTTGTATCCTGCCCTTTTCCCTCTTCAAAGGGGCCCAGGAAGTTCACACGATCCACCTTCACCCAAAGTAATCCTCACAGCAGCCCTGTGAGGTAGGAAAGGCCAAGAGACAGTGACTGGCTCAATGCCCCCCAGTGAGGTCCATGGCTGAATGTGGAGTAGGACCCGAGGCCAACAGCCCAATGCTGTAACCCCCATGTTGTTTTTACTTTATGGGGATTCAGGGCTTCCTCACAAGTTTCTGCAAAAATATGTTCTGCAGTTGCAAACAGGAAGCTGCACAGAGAGTTGCGTGTTAGGCAGAGGTCCCCCTGCACTTTGCAATTATTAAACTCATGGTAATTGGCACCAGCACTCCAGGGGTTACTCCAGGAAATTCTTTTGAGACCAGACATGGAAACAGCAGGTTCTGCTATAAGAGGAGGGAATATTTGGCACTGGGGATGAAATCAAAGGAGTTCCCATGCTTTCCCCACAGCTGAGGCTTGGGAGGTGCCTGACAAAGGGCAGGGAAACTGCATCCATGTGGCTTGATCAGCTCATGGCTTGGAGCAAAAGCTCCTCTGTTTCTGCATGAGCAGAGCCACTGGCTGCCACATTCTTCTTGCAGAAGCAAATTGCCTCTGGGAAAAGCCACAAGGCAGGGACCATGGCAGGCATGCCCCACCAACCCCTCCTGCTTCTCCTACTTCTTCTGTGGCTCTTCTGGACAGCTGGGGACAAGCAAGTGGCAAGATGCCCCCTGACATTAAGTAGAGATGCATATGATGCAAGGAATCGCTTCCAAACAGGAGACCACCTCATCGGTGGGCTCCTCCCTTCACTGGATGCAGTAATCCAACAGCATTCCTTTGTCAATCCTCCAATTATCCGTGTCAGAGAGTAAGTGCTTCTCCAGAGATGTATTTTGTGCTCCTCCATTGAGGTCTGATTTCTGAAGGAACCCCAAAAGGTACAGCAAGGATGGATGGGTATCAAGCCCTGTCAAGTCCTTTGTTCTTGAAAAACAAACCTCAACATGGGGAAGTCCTGCCATCTCTGCATGTCAAGGTCCATCCCCTAATTCAGAAGGTTTACCTATGATCTCTGCAGTTGGTTACTACTCTTCTTCAGAATGAGGTTGTGGTGTCATTTTAATTCAAGGAAGAAATCTCTCCATTGCCTCTAAAATGATCTGACCTAGTACAGGCTAAGTTCCTTCTAAATGAAACGCTGAACACACTCTGGTGAATCTGTTTTTTCTAGACCACCAGGAAAAAATATTTCCCCTAGAGAAAGGGACCACCGAGGAGATGCATGTTCCATGAGTTCCTACTTTAACAGCAGAAATTCCTTCATGCAGGACTCTGAGTTCAGGAAGGTATTCCCACCGTTTACCTGAAAACCCTCACAAATTTCACATGGCTCCAGACCTTAACATGTGGGCCAACACCACAAAAAAGTCACAGTTGACATTACGTTCCATCACTTCAAAACTCTTCCCAAAACTTTTTCAGAGCCTGGTCTGTCTTTCAACCCTTTTCCCTTGGGATATATGGGAGGAAAAGGCCCTGACGGCTTATGGCATCTTGCAGAAGGGGTTTGGCTTCCTTTGGAACAGCCACATGCCTGGGTCCATGGCAGGCATGCCCCACAAGACCCGCCAAATGCCCCAAAATGTGTTTCTCAAGAGATGTAGTTTGTGCTCCTTCATGGAGGTCTGTTTTCTTAAGAAAGCCCAAAAGGTAGTGCAAGGACAGGTGGGTATCAAGCCCTGTCAAGTCCTGGGTTCTTGAAAAACAAGCCACCTCTTAGGGCCATTCTGCAACCTCCACATTTCATTTCTAATTCAGAAAACTTGCTTATGATTTCTGCCATTGCTGATCATTCTTGCCTGGTCACGGTGTTCTTACCGTCACCTTGGTTTCCAACACAAGAACAACCCAAAATTGGGTCAAACATTTTCCCTTGGATTATATCAGAGCATTAACGAAAGCAGTAAAGAAGTGGAAAGGGGGACAGACCCTGTCTTTTCCGAGCTCACTTCTAATGTTATGTGATTTCTTCTGAGTGTGTTACTTAAGCCTTGAGAAACACAGTGTGCCAGAAGCAAAGCCAGGTGCTAGGGTCTTGCAACATGCCTGGTCAAAGTGGCTTCAGAGAGAATAGGCACAGCATTTGGCCATCCCTGGAGAAGAGGAGCTGAAGGATGAGTCAAGGCAGAAACAAAAGAAGTGCTTCAAAAGGGAGGAAATAGAGCCATCCTTCAGCAGCATCATTTCTGAAAATGTGGCATGGCAAACCACAGGAAGATGAGCAGCAGAAGGTGTAGAGCAGGATCTATTTCACCCAGAATCCTGCTGACACCAGGCCAAGGCTCCTGCCAACAGGAAGTGGGAACACCAGTGCTCTAAAACCCATGTTGCACAGCAAATGACTTCCAATACCACAAATATTAAATGATGATGAGAAGCAGATGAGCTTTGGAAGGTTTCAGGAGAACACTGCACCAGATGGATGCCTGTTCTCCTCCAGCATGACTCTTCTTAATCTCTCATCCTCGCATACCACATTCCTCAAATATCCTGGGACACCCAGATATATCAGAGGCTTCCACACACTCTGGGGTGTCTCTGGCCAGCTCAGATGGCTTCCTCTGTTGATTCTGGGCCCATCTCTCCAGCAGGTGCATGTGGTCAGTGCAGGCACTCTTCCAGGAGGACACGGCTTCCTCCCACTGTCAGAACTGGAGGCTTCACCCAGATGCCACCAGCAGAACTTAGGCAGTAGGAAGCCTCCAGGGAAAGCAGAAAGTGCCACCAGAGAGGGGAAAATACACAACCTTGTGGTCCTCAAGTCCATGGTTCTAAGGTTATTTAGTTTTCGTTGGTTAAGCTTTACATACTGCTCATTAGTAACGGAGTTCCCAGAATGAAGAAGGTGTTGAATGAACAAGAAAGTGTGGGTGAGAATGTGTCTTGGGTTACTTCACATTACTTACACTACTTTTTCATACATATTAATGTGTCTATGAAAAACATCTCCTTTGCTGCAGAGCAAACACTGGAAACTACTTCTATGACCTGGCCTTCTTGCATGCCATCCATGAGATCAACCAGGACCCGGAACTCTTGCCCAACACCTCTCTGGGTTACAGCATCTATGAAAACTTTTATAACACCAGGATCACCTACGACATCATGCTGGACCTCCTGTCTCCTGAGCAGAAGAACATCCCGAACTACAGCTGTGGGAGCCAGATGGACCTGCTGGCTGTTGTGGAAGGGGCTGACTCGGAAATCTCCAGCCATATTTCAGCCCTGTTGGGCATCTCCAAAATCCCACAGGTATATATGGAGGGTATGGTGTCTGTGAGCATTTTATGTTGGAGAGCCTTCAGCTGCCTTGTGGACCCCACGGGACTGGTAGTATCTTTCCTGGAGACCAGGAAGCACCGGGGGAAAGGTCTATGTCGGTAGTTCAAGAACCTCTCATTCTGTGTTGGGGATTGTGTTCTGGAGAAAAACTTAGGTCTCTTTTCTTCCTTGGCAGGTCAGCTATGGCTTCATCTCTCATGACTTTAAGAATAAAGCCCGGTTCCCTTTTTTTTACCGGGTGGTCCCCAAAGATAGAGACCAGTACCTGGGGATAGTCCAGATGCTCCTGCATTTCAGATGGACATGGATTGGCCTATTTGCTCCAGACAATGACAATGGGGAACGGTTCATGCAGACCATGACCCCTTTGCTCACATCCAACAGCATCTGTGTTGCCATCTCAATGCAATTCCCAGAAAGGAATCGTCCTAAAATCAGACTGAACCTTCCTCCCACTTTCCTATGGAGACAAGTCAAGGTCTTTGTTTACTATGCAGAAACTCGCTCTTTCAGTGGTGGAATGTTTCTTCTACAACAATTGCTTCGTCTGTGGGTAGGACCTGCTCAAGGCAATGTTTGGCTCACAACGGCCTTGTGGGACATCAGCTCAACAGTGACCCACAGATTTTCCTCTAGGAAGCACAGCCATTGGTTCTTTTCCTTCTCAATCCAGACAAAGAACAAGCACAAAAGGGCATATACTGATCCTGTTGCTCACATCCTGGAAAAATCATTTTGTTGTTCATATTCCAAATATGCTTTTTCGGTCAGAGGGAGGAGAAGATGTGAACAGAAGGAGACCTTGTCCATGGAGCTGCTTAAACCGAGTCTTTCTGAGAACACCTACAATGTCCATAGAGGTGTCCAGATGGTGGCACGAGCCTTGCACATGGCACAGGGTTCCACATCCAAGCAAAGGACAAAGGTGGGAGGAGAAATGCTGGACATTCAGAAGCTGCAGCCATGGCAGGTATCCCCTTTTCCTTCAGAAATCTCTATCCTGAAAATGACAGAATTCAGCCCTCACAGGATCAAGGCTGGAAGAAGTGGTGTATGGTAAAACTTCCCCGAGGTGGACACAAAGTGCATCAATCCCCCAGGTGCAAACCAGTTGAAGCTCTGATTGCTGATGGCCAGAACATAGCGTTTGTTTCATCCTATTCCCCTTGCCCAACGGGCACTTAATAAGTGTGGCCGAAATGAGCTAGACAGCATGGGCTGGCTGGTGCTGATGGTCCATTCAAGTTTGGGATTCAGGAAGAGAGTGAATCCAGGGAAACCATAAATTTAGTTTCATGATGCTAAATGGGCAGGGGATGAGGGAAAGAAGCTCTGAGAGTCTGACTGTGGTGGGAACAGCCCGTGTGGTGCAAGGGGAGGAAAGTGGGCAGTGCTGACTTTGTTCCTCTGAACTCAAAGGCAGGGTTCCTAAAAGGCACCATCTGGCTGGCTTGGCTATTTTCAGTGCAAAGTCACTATTCTTTGAATTTTGTTGGTGTTACAGAGCTGGTCTAAGAGAAGCAGTTTCCGCTGGGAGTTCACCACAAGCAGCACCATCTTCAAAGGGTCTGCTGGGGGTCTTGCCAGGCTGTAGGGCTGTGCATCATTTCATAGAAATGTAGAAACTGAGTCAGAAGGGGCCTCCCGGTCCATCTAGTCTGACCTCCGGCACCAGCCGGCTCCGCTCACGACATGCCCACCATGTGCACATCCAGTCTATCCTTGAACACCCTCTCGATGGGGCCTTAACAACCTCTTGAAGAAGCCCATCCACACCCTCGGGGTCCTAACTTTCAGGAAATGCTTCCTGGCATCCAAATGGAACCTTGGTTCCCTGGGATTTGCTCCATTGGAGCGCTTTCTGCCTTTCTCTGCAGGGGAGAACAAGTCTCTACCCATCTCCATGTGACATCCCCTCACATATCTGTATGTCTCCAACATATCCCCTCTGAGTCTCCTCTTCTCCAGGCTGAAGAGACCCAGTTCCCTCAGTCTGGCCTTATACCCCATCCCCTGCAAACCGGCCACCAACCTTGTGGTCCTACGCTGCACTGACTCTAACCTGGCTATATCCTTTCTGTAAAGAGGGGCCCAAAACTGAGCACAGTACTCCAGTTGAAGGTGCACCAGTGTTGTATAGAGTGGTAGCACATTTCCCTGCAATATGCCTTTATGAGCACCAGTGACACCAATTGCTTGAATTCTCCTTGAGGCACAAAACTAAATTGATCCATCTTTTGGGGAATATTTGATTGAAACATGAGCAGAGTGTGAAAACATGAAGAGAACACCACAAGCAATGTGTTGGAATTTGAACACAGTGAGCAAAAACCTTCTTTGAGGAGATCCAGGCCTTCTCTAAGAACTTTCCTCCAAATGGAAAGTACTGTTTGAGAAACCTTAAACTTTGTCAGCTTGTCCCTAAATCATCCAGAGACATACATCTCAGCCTTTCCCAAAGGATGAAGGGGAAAAGGGGGACTCAGGAATGCACTTCACTCTTTGTTTTCAAATGTATTTGAACCAAAAGAAGGAAAGCCAGCAGAGCCTTGGAATGCATGTTCTGCCACTGAGATCAAGAGAAAGGACAGGGCGAAAATGACCAGCAAGGTTTATGCTCTTCTCTATCTTTCCAGCTGCACCATTTCCTGAAAAACGTCTGGTTCTCCAATGCTTCCTTGGATGGACTTCACCTGGACAGGGATGGGGAGCTGACGGCCAGCTTTGATATAATGTTACACTGGCTGGATCTGCCCAGACCCTCACTTGTTAAAGTGAAAGTCGGGGCTCTAGAGTGGCAGGAATCCACACACCAAGTGTTCCACCTCAATGAGAATCCCAGCGCATGGCATAACCAGGTGAGGCAACCCATGTCTTCCAAGCATATACAAATTGGGGCAGGGGGCACTAACAAGTAACTTATGTGCTGAGGGGTGCATGCACTGAACCTAAAGGACACCTGCAAAGTTCTTCACACCTGCTTCCCTCGTCAAAACTATTTATTTTTTAAGAACACTGAATCTCATCAGGGAGCCAGGCCCTTCTTCCTGTTCCTGAACCCACAGCGGTGCAGCTGTGGAGGGCAGGAAGAGGAGGAAGAAATCACCTTCTGGCCTATGAAATCTTCCCCTGCCCACAGTCTATTCCTCTTTCCATTCTCTTTTTCTCATGCTCTCTCAATTCCCAGACTCCAACCTCTTGGACATTTCACAATCCTCCTAGCCTCTTCCTCCTTTTTTAGGGAAGTGTGAGGGATCCACTCTGGAGAATCCACATTGCAAATCTGCTGGATCATCCAATTTCAGCTTTCTGGCCTCTGGCCTCTATTCCCAGCCTGAAAAAGGGACTTACTTTTTCATAGCTGCCACGTTCTTGTGAACATTTTCACTGGGCTCTTACTACAAGCAAAGATCTCCTTCTTGGTAGCTGTCCACCATTTCACATCCCAACAGATTCAAATTTTAGTTGGGAGCTCTTTGCTCAGTTGTGAATTCCTCAGCTCTTGCTTGCATTTAACTACTAAGGCCACTCTGAATTACAATAGTTGTCAGAATCCCGGAATCTCAATTTGAGAAGAGAGAAAAAAACTCAGGTTCATGGGAAAGACCAAGCATCCAGGCCATTTGAGGCTTTATTGTATTTACCCCAAGGTTCCCGCGGTACACTCACGATAATGCATGCTGCATTAACGGGCAGGCAGAGGTGAACTCTGCTGCAAAGCTTCAATACCATTACAGGGCATTTATAGGTACACAGGTGCAGGGCAACTGATGACAGAATGCAGAGATTACAATAAGATTCTGAGGTCATCACATACAGAACAGATAAAGAAATGTCAGTCAATCACACTGTAACAATGAGATTAAAATATTTCTAATTGCCTGTACTGACACTTTGAGTAACTTGAACCCATCTCCAGGTCTGCTCAGACATGCAAATTCCAGCTACTAGAAACGATTCATGATAAGCTCAGGACCTCATCTCAACTCTAAACATTCTGCATGATCAGGGCACATGAAGCCCTCTGGGCTATCAAAAGATTATTGTAAACTGAATTCCAACAATGACTATTTACAATGTATATTTGTCTACTGTAGCCTACAGCTGAAGGTGAGAGAAATGAGTGGGGGAATGCCATTTTAAAAGTGACAGCTTGGTTTTGAGAAGGAAGACAGGATTTGATCCCACAATACAAAGGCACACAGGAGTAATGCTTTTCAGACAGGATTTATCCAAATTTTCCCAACATAGTGTAGGCCCATCCAGTTAGGACACTTCATGAGGTGTCTTCATTCTACTATTATTTGATTTTCCAGTTTCCCACTTGCACGTTCTCCTCAACATTCCTTCTCTGTATTGCCAGACCCTCCCTCAGTCGAGGTGTTCCAAAAGCTGCTTCCCTGGATATGTCAAGGTGATTGTGGAAGGAAAGCCAGTTTGCTGCTATGCCTGTGCTCCATGTGCAGAAGGGACCATCTCCACTCAGGAAGGTAACTGGGGCCATAGAAGAGAAACTCTGAATCATTTTCATTGATAAATCATTTTCTGAAATATGTGTAAATGTTATCATCACTGTGGGTTGAAAAAGACAGAACTCTAGAAGACAGGAGGATAAAGAGAGACATGGCTGATACCATACAACCCATTTTCTTTTTCCTTTTTTAATCCCTGTCCTCAGATGTGGAACATTGTACCAGATGTCCAGAAGATCAGCATCCAAACAAGAAGCAAGATCAATGTGTTCTCAAAATTACCAGCTTCCTCTCCTATGGAGAATCTCTAGGAATTGTCCTAGTTTCCTTTGACTTTTTCCTGTCTGTAACAACAAGCTGTGTGTTAAGCATCTTCATTAAGTACCTGGAAACTCCCATAGTCAAAGCCAACAACCGGGACCTTTCCTACATTCTGCTCATCTCCCTCCTGCTTTCCTTCTTGTCCTGCTTCTTCTTCTTTGGTCAGCCAAGGAAAGTCACCTGCCTTCTTCGTCAAGCAGCTTTCAGCATCATTTTCTCAGTGGCCATCTCTTCCCTCCTGGCCAAAACCATCACTGTGGTGCTGGCCTTCCTGGCCACCAAGCCTGGAAACAGGGTGAGGAGATGGCTGGGGAAGAGCTTGGCCAATACCATTGTGCTTTCCTCTTCTGGTGTTCAAGTTCTTATTTGCACCTTCTGGCTGGCCACCTCTGCACCGTTCTCTGACTCTGACATGTATTCACAGCCTGGAGAGATCATTCTGCAGTGCAATGAAGGCTCTGTGGCCATGTTCTACACTGTGCTTGGCTACATGGGCTTTCTGGCTGCTGTGTGCTTCACCATGGCTTTCCTGGCCAGGAAGCTGCCTGGGGCCTTCAATGAGGCCAAGCTGATCACCTTCAGCATGCTGGTCTTCTGCAGTGTCTGGATCTCCTTCGTGCCCACCTACCTGAGCACCAAGGGGAAGTACATGGTGGCTGTGCAGGTCTTCTCCATCTTGGCCTCCGGCGCTGGGCTGCTGGGCTGCATCTTCCTGCCCAAGTGCTACATTATCCTACTGAGGCCTGACCTGAATACCAAGGAGCATCTAACAGTCAAGCAGGAAAACAGCATAGGTTCCCTAGAAAAGACTTTAAAATATTGACTATTCATATCTGCAAACACAGCTATAATGAAACTATTGGACATTGTTTGTACTTATTTTTATTTGTACTTTTAGATTGTGCTGTGAGCTGCCCTGACTACCTCTGGTTATAGGGAGCAATAGAAATGCAATAAGTGATCAATTAAATAATTCCATCTTCAGAGAAGCCTGGGTACTGAATCCCCCTTTTACAACATCTTGGAGAACCCAGGACTTCTGACTCTATGGCTCCCATCCAGACTAATCCTTCAGGCTTTCTCTCAATCCAGCTGCATGCCTGTCTTGACCAGTGGATAAGACTTGGAGAAGACGGGTCTCCACTTTGCACTCTGCACATAGACCAGTCTTGCCCATGAATCAAGTGGCAGTAGGAACTCACTTTCCTGGGCAAGACTCCAGGACCAGCATATCCTTTGAAATCCCCCTTTCTGCAGATGGGATTCCTTCCCTCTGTTGACTCCATTTTTTGGCTAAACAGGATTTTATGCTCTTTGTTTGCAGGTGCCTGGGTGTGGTTGTGTGTATGATATTGAACACCCTTGGGGTGTACTTACAGCTTGTGCATCTCTTTCATATAATGTGAAATCTTCTTAGCTGAAGTGTGTGAAGTCTTGTCTAAAAATAAAGTCACTCAAGACATGCAAAAACTGAGGTAGGAATCTATCTATTGTTCCCAGCATTAACCTCTTCTCCAGTGTGTCTGGTTCATTTAGAAGGGTTTATTTTATCAGTAAAAGGTACTGATAAGTCCCTGGTCATTTGCACACAGGCAGGAGACAAGAAGCTAAGACTGGAGCCTCAGCTGATCTGCCCAGTGATCAGTGAGGGTGTTGTGCAGGGTCACACATTTTGCTGTCTTAGAGGTCACCCTGCTTTAACTTCTTCTTTTCAGGTTAACACCCTTAGGAACTGCAGTTTTGGAGACTGGCTCTACAACAACATCCCTTCATGTTAAACAGTTTGTCTTGCTCTATGGAATACAATTTTAAAAGCCAAGCTCTCCCTTCAAGATAGCTGAACTGGATTTAGGAGATTTTGGAATCAGGTTTCAGGTAGGAGGTCAGGAAGAACTTCCAGATGGTCAGGATCCTGAGGATATGGAATGGGCTTTCACGGGAGGTGGGGGACCCATCAGTGAGGGTGTTCGCAGAAAGATTGGACAATCACATTTGTGGAGCCTGCCTGCTGCTTCTCGCACTGGTTCCTACCCCCACAGACCAGAGCAGAGGCCACATGCACTGCCCTCCATGTTCTCCAGCTCAACATCAGTTGGTGTTGCCATTTGTGGGAGAAATGGAGGTGCTGTCAGGGAGAAGGGGGAGAGGAGAGATTACTCAAAAGGAGTGAGCCAGGAGCAGGTACCTCTCCTGGGTGGGGCCTTGGAGAGCATGTCCTCTTCTGTGAGCCTTTTGGGTTGCCCTGTTGTATGTGGGTGTAAGCAACACTGGATTGTGTGGCTGTGCTCCCTTCACTGTACTAATGGGTGATTGACTTTATCTGTGTGGGGATTATAGCTATACCTTATCATTACTGCTAATCTTCATGATGTATTATATTGTTTTATGTATTGATATTACATGATACATTATTTAACATATTTCTGTTATGAGGTTCATTTGGATTTTGTATTGCTCATTGTTAGATATAATATTGCTTGCTTGTGCTGCTCTGACTGGACCATAAGGAAGGCTCAGTGCTGAAGTATTGAGGCCTTTGAATTGTGATGCTGGAGAAGACTCCTGAGAGTCCTTGGATTGCAAGGAGATCAAACCAGGCAATCTTAAAGGAAATCAACCCTGACTGTTCTTTAGAAGGGCAGATGCTGAAGATAAAGCTCACCTTTCTTCTCACATATTTTCTGCAGCTTCAGACTTGCACGGGAAGCCACATGGAGAGGTCCAAATTGGACCGAGGTCACCGTACTCTTTACATTTATTAAAATCATGGTGATTAGCAGCAGGACTCCAAGGATTAGTCCAGGAAATGCTTTTGAGACTAAACTCAGGAATATCCAGCTCTGCAAGAGGCGGAGCCAGTTTTTGGCACTGAGCACGGAATCGGGGGGCACAGAAACTTCCCCGATATCCTTGGCTTGGGAGTAACTTGACGGCAGACAGGACGCTGACATTGTCTGACTCGATCATCTCATGGCTGAACCAAAACATCTTCTGCTTCTGCATGAGCAAAGGCCCCAACTGCCACCTTGTTCTTGCAGGAGGGTTTTGATTTTTCTTGGGCAACAGCCAGAAGGGAGGGACTGCGGCAGGCATGCCCCTCAAGACACTCCTGCAGCTGCTGCTCCTGCTTCTGTGGCCCCTCTAGGCATCTGGGGGCATGCAAGTGACAGGAAGCCCTTTAGCTAAGGTGATATCAGTGCGATTTGTGTAATCTTTTCTGACCAGGAGACCACCTCATCAAAGGGGTCTTCCCTTCACTCTATTCAGCAATAGAACTGCACTCCTTTGCTGGAGACCCAAGATCAGGAAAACTAAGATAATGGCATCTGGTCCTATCACTTCCTGGCAAATAGATGAGGAAGAAATGGAGGTAGTGACAGATTTTATTTTCTTGGGCTCCAAGATCACGGCAGACAGTGACTACAGCCAAGAAATTAAAAGGCACTTGCTCCATACTAAAAAGCAGGGACATCACCCTGCCGACAAAAGCTCACATAGTCAAGGCTATGGTTTTCCCAGGTGCAATCTATGGCTGTGAAATTTGAACCATAAGGAAGGCAGAGCGCCATAGACTTGAGGCCTTTGAATTGTGGTGCTGGAGAACTTCTGTGAGTCCCTTGGACAGCAAGGCGATCAAACCGGTCAGTCCATAGAAAAATGTAGGGCTTGGGAAGAAAGGGTGTGGTACTTGAGTCACATTACTAGAAGGCCAGAGTCCCCAGAGAAGACCTTCATGATAGGGAAAGTCAAAGCAGAAGAGAAAGACCAGATGGGAAATAAATTGATTCCATAAAGGAACCCACTGCCTTGATTTTATAGGCAGAAGACATCTTGGAGGGCTTCCATCCATAAGGTCACCTTAAATTGAAGACAACATCACAGCATGTTGTCACAACAATAATGTGGGGAAGTTATCACTCAAGAAAATCTCTCTTCGTGTGTTGGAGTGTGTCTGTGTGGTGGGAGGGTGACAGCACTTTTGGTGCTAGGAATACCCTGAGATCTGGCAACAAGGTGAAACCATCTTGGTGATGCATGGTCCTCATCCAGGAACCTGGTCTGGTGTTACCATTGTGTTTGGGTTGTTACCCAAGCTGCATGTTCCAGGCCCTTCTCCCAAAAGATGCATGAGACCAATATAAGACATTCCACCTTCTGTGTCAGCATGGCATTTGAGCTCTCAATTTAAGACATGTCTTAAATCAAGTAGAATATGAAGATTTTTTTTAATCATATGAGAACCAGACAAACTGCCATATGAATCAGACACAGAACCATGTGTTTTGACCTCTGGAAACAAAGAGCAGCAAAACCTTTTTGGCCAGTAAAAGAAGACCATGGAGGGGCAGGATTCACTTCTGCAGAAAGAGTGCCTGAACTGAAGTTTCGTCTAGTGAAGCGAGTCCCTGCTACCTCTTGAGTCATGGGCAAAACTGGTCTATGCGCAGATTGCCAAGTAGGACCCCTTCTCTCCTGTGTCTGAATGACTGGTCAAGAGAGGCATGTGGCTGGACTGGCAAAAGATTGATCAGTCCAACTGGGGAGCATGGAGCCCCAAGATCTGGGCTCTCTAGGATTTTGTAAAAGGATCCCAGGTCCCCTAAACTTGGAACATAACTATTTATCATTTATTGAAAGCACTTGTATGCCTCCCCAAAGGCAGAGGCTCTCTCATCAGCTCACTGAGCAAACTAAAGATAAAAGTAAATAACAATAGCAACAAAACCATGAAATATAATATGATTAAAATACCGTATGAACACAATGTAGAAATGGAACATGTAGAAATAAACACAAAATACAGAGTAAAAGAGCAACCAATAAAAAAACTAGCAGCAAACCAATAATCCAATCTACTCCCCTAGTCTTCTTTGCTGCTCATTTAGACCCCCTCCTACTGACTACCCCATCCCACACCACCTCCTCCCATCCCTTCCTTGCCTAATGAGAGATTCTCTGGATCCCTTCAGCACCAACACTTCAGCAGCTGTTGCCCAAGGAACACCTCTCTCCTGCCACTGGCATCATGCCAGCATTAGCGGATATGTATACTTAATACTTCAAAGTTTATTTTAGAATCATATGACATTTTACATTTTGGTTGTTAGATGCTCCTTGGTATTCAGGACAGGCCTCAGTAGGATAATGTAGCACTTGGGCAGGAAGATGCAGCCCAGCAGCCCAGCGCCGGAGGCCAAGATGGAGAACACCTGCACAGCCACCATGTACTTCCCCTTGGTGCTCAGGAAGGTGGGCACGAAGGACACCCAGACACTGCAGAAGACCAGCATGCTGAAGGTGATCAGCATGGCCTTGTTGAAGGCCCCAGGCAGCTTCCTGGCCAGGAAGGCCACTGTGAAGCAGACGGCAGCCAGGAAGCCCATGTAGTCGAGGGCAGTTTAGAACATGGCCACAGAGCCTTCATTTCACTGCAGAATGATTAGTCCAGGCTGGGAGTGCATGTCAGAGTCAGGGAATGGGGGAGAGGTCCCCAGCCAGATGGAGCAAAGAAGAACTTGGACACTGGAGCAGGAGATGACAATGGAGTTGGCCAAGCTCTTCCCCAGCCATCTCCTTACCCTGTTGCCTGGCTTGGTAGCCAAGAAGGCCAGCACCACAGTGATGGTTTTGGCCAGGAGGGAAGAGACGGCCACTGAGAAGATGATGCTGAGAGCTGCTTGATGAAGGCAGGTGACTTTCCTGGGCTGACCAAAGAAGAAGAAGCAGGACAAGAAGGAGAGCAGGAGGGAGATGAGCAGAATGTAGGAAAGGTCCTGGTTGTTGGCTTTGACTATCCAGGTACTTAATGAATATTCCTAACAC